TTTCTGCGCTCACAGATCCCTTTTCTTACATTAAAAAAAGACGTTTTTCCGCTATTGCCAACGTTCGCTTTTCTCGTGTTTTTCACTGGCTCCCCATCTGTCTCCTCCTTTCCTTAAATCCCGCTTTATAGTTTGCCATTTCCATTTCTGCTCCTTGTTTCTTTCTTCCTTCTCCCTTCTACTTCTGCATTACACCTTTGTGCTTCTTTCCTCCTCCTCATACTTCTTCCAAGACTCACCAGCATCAATGCATCGCATACCTTCCTCCTCGCTCATAATTTTCTTCGCACGCTCCTCTTCCTTTTCTCTTGCCCCTCCTTCCTGCCTCCCTGCCATACTTTCTTCACTTCTGCTGCCTACTTCTTACGCACTTCGGGCTCAATCATACTTTTCTTTCACGCGTGCTCTTCCTACTGCCTCCCCTGCCTTCCTCCTCCTCCTGCCTGGCAATAACTTCTTCCACCTCCTCTTCGCTTCTTCGTGCCGCACTGCCGCTATCCTGCGCTGCGCTTTCTCTCCTCGCTGCCCCCTCGCATCCTCACTGCGCTCCTGCTCCTCCCCTTAGCTCCTCCTGCCTCCATTCCTGCGCTCCTCCTCCTCTCTCTCTCCTCCCTCCTCCTCGCTCCTGCCCCCTTCTCCTTTTCAGTTATTTAAATTTCTTCATTAGCGAATGCATCACACTTTGTATCAGTCATCGTTTTATTAAATGTAGTTGTTAATGAAAAATGCGCAAAAGCGATCGCCGTTTCCAATTCGGGCGCAATTCCCCCGACCAATTCGGCCGCAGTGGCGAGCGGTGGCCACTTGGCCCCCTTGGCGTTCGTGATGTCACAATTGTTGTTTTAGTATGTGAGCGTCCGCGTTATCTGGGTTCGGGACTGTTACATCCTGTTCGTGATATGTTATCGCCGCTTTCTGACGCCGAGAATTCTTCGTGTGCTTCTTATCTTGTCTCGGGTGCCATCTTGAGTTTTTTTTTTCTCTCTCTCTCTTTGGCTTTATTTTGGTATGGTTGATTCGGTCGGTCTATGTTTCGTTGGGGTGTTTATTATTAATTTGGGGTGGGTGGGGGGTGGGGGGGGGTCGTTGTGGTTTTTTTTTTTTTTTTTTTTTTTTTTTTTTTTTTTTTTTTTTTTTTTTAAATTTCTCAGGTACGTTTTTCACTGTCGCTGTTAATTCTGTCCTGTCTGTCTGTCTGTCTCTCCTCTCTCTCTCCTCTCTCCTCTCTCCTCCTCTCATCTATCTCTCTCTTCTCTCTCTCTTCCTCTCTCCTCTCTCTCTCTCTCTCTCTCCCTCTCCTTCTCTCCTCTCTCCGTCTCCGTCTCTCTCCCCTCTCCCCCTCATGTGCTTATGCAAGATATTATAATATAAAATATATATATATATATATATATATATAATATATGTATTTATATATGTTATAGGTATGCATGTTATATTTATGAATTATAATGTATCTATATATGTCATGTATTAATATTATATATATATTTATAATATGTATATATATTAGAAATTTTAACATAAATACATATTAGAATATTTATATATGATTTTATATTTATATATCTATTTATATATTATGTATTACATATATATTATAACTTATGCACATATATAGCTTTCTCTAGATTTTCACCTTATTTCTCCCATTTCCTCCTTCTGATGAAATTCTTCCTTATGTTCTTGAGGAGGGGAAGGAGAAGAAGAGGAAGAACAAGGAGGAGGGGGATTAGAACGAGGAGGAGGAGGAGGAGTAAGAGAAGAGAGAGAACAGGTGAACCAGGAGTAGGTAGGAGAAGAAAGAGGATGAAAAAGGGAAAATGAGAGAGGAAAGTGGAGAAGGAGGAGAAGAGAAGAGAGAGAACGGGTTGAACCAGGAGTAGAAGGAGAAGAAGGAGGATGAAAAGGGAAATGGAGAGAGGAAAGTGGGGATGGGGGGGGGAGGGGTTCGAAGAGGGAAGAGGGAAGAGGGAAAAAGGAGAGGGAGAGTGCGGGCGAGAGCGACGACGGGGCCTAACCCTGGAAAGTGGGTCGGCGGCTTGTTGTTGTTTTAAAGCTGTTGTTCTCGCGGGCCGCTGGTGGGGGGCGGTGACGGGGCGGCGCGGCGAGCCGAGGAGGAGGAGGAGGAGGAGGAGGAGGAGGAGGAGGAGGAGGAGGAGGAGGAGGAGGAGGAGGAGGAGGAGGAGGAGGAGAGGAGAGAGGAGGAGGAGGAGGAGGAGGAGGAGGAGGAGAGGAGGAGGAGAAGGGGGAAGGAAGGAGAAGGATAGGAAAAGGGGAGGAGGAGTGGAGGGAGGAGGGTGGGGGGGAGAGGAGGAGGGGGAGGAGGAGCAGGAGCAGGAAAGAGGGGGGGGGGATGAAGAGGAGGAGGAGAAGGAGAGAGGTTGGGGGCTGTCGCCATCCTTCTCCGGTCTCTTTTCTTCTCTCCTGCTCTGTTTTCTTCTCCTTTCGTAACTGCTTCTCTCTCTCTCTCTGCTCTCTCTTCTCTTCTCCTCTGCTTCTTCTCCTTTCTTCACTTCTCCGTCTTGCTTCTCCTCTCCT